TCAGCCCCAACCCCTCGGCTGCTGGTAACTATTCTGGTCAGAGATTTTTACCTTGATATAGCTCACATGCAAAATCCCTGTGGAGGTCAGGGAGGGAGGCAGCTGGCCTCAGGCAGGATAGCAGCCCACTTTCATCTCAAAGGCTCCTAGGTCTAATTGGTCCTATAATTTTGCTTCTCCAGATCCTGCCAGAGTCACCTGGATCTTACTAGACAATGAGTCCATTTACCTATATACGCTCGTTAGAGGACTTCCTAATATCAACGTAGGCACCTTCGCTTTCATTGAGCAGGTATTAAATGTCTTGTACAACTGGACAGAGGGAGGGAGATGTGCTTGTCACCTGCCTCAGAATTCACCTCCTCCTCTGTATTAGGTGATGTTCCCTGAGGCAGGAACTGGAGAACAAGTGATTTATCAAAGACGTGCCCCTCGGGAAAAATCTTCAAAGAGGGGAGGAAGCAGAATAGAGAAGAAGAAAGAACAGAGAGATAGAATGTAGATTCCAGTAAGGTCTAGGCTCTGCTTGACCCACAGGGACTCTGTGTCACAGGACTGATCTGATGCCAGGGGCTTTGACCTTTTGTTCCTCAAAAAGGATGGTAGCAAAGGGTATAACCTCCTAGGTGAGAAGGTTCAAGTCAGCAGAGGCAATTCCCCAGAGAAGGAAGGCAGCCAACACTCACAGCACCTGGAGGATGGGTACCCTGGCTAAAGTGTATTTAGGTGGGGTGCCAAGAATATCCACTACATCCTCCAAAACAGATTGCAAATCCAAATACTTCTCCCTGGCCCTACAGCCACCACTCTGATTCATGCCATTGCTTCTCACCTGTAAGACTCAGACGCCTTCTCACTGCTATCCACGCATCCATACAGGCAGGTCCACATCTAATAGTCTTTACATAATAGCCAAAATGGTCCTCAAACCAGTCACTACCACATTTAAAACCCCTAAGTGCCTGCACCTTATAATGAGAATAAAATTCAAAGTCCTTGCCAGACCTACAGGATTTGGCTATGGGTCATTGGTCCCCTGGTTACTGTTCTCTAGCCACACTGTCTTTTTCTCAGTTTCTAGATTGCTTACATCTCTCCTACCTTATGGCTTTTGCACATTCTGTTTTTTCTGCTTGGTGTGTTCTCCCTACATTCTGCTTGATTCATGTTTATCCTCACGTCTTAAACTTTACTTTCTCCAGGTTTGCCCCGACCTCTGAATCTCTGCTTAATCTGTCAGATATCATTTCAAATGTCAGTCTCAGCTACAGTAGATCCACTCACCATGCTCATACCACTCTGAATTTCACTCCCGTAGCTTTTATCATAATTTGTATTTCTATTTATGTGACACTTTCTTAAAGTCTCACTTTCTTGACTGTAAGTTACAAGAGGTCCAAAACCATGTCTGTTTTACTCACTGCTGTGTGTCAAGCACCAGGCACATGGTAAGCAATAAACACCAGGTTAATGAAAGAATAAATGAACCAGGCACCCCACAAATCATGAGTCAGCTGTGATTTCTTGGGCACCGGTAGCCTTTGGAGTGAAGCAGATAGTCACTGCCTCCCAAGACATGTTTTATGAAGTAGCATGCAGAGGATGCCACATTATAGAACAAGAAAGATTTCACAGAATAGGGGTGGGGAGGGTAGGTTGGGGAATACCAGAGCTGAAGTTTGCCAGATGACAAAGCACAGGAAGACAGTCCAGGCTGGGAGATGAAGGAAAATGCGGATGGAGCGAAGGAAGCTAGAGATCATGTATGGTATGGCCAGGATCCAGGAGGCCCTGGAATGTCACACTGAGGAGTCAGGGCTCCACCATTTGAGCTCTACTTCCTAGAGCATGCTCACAAGGTTTGGTTTTGATTTCAATAAACACTTATTGAACATTTTCTGAGTTAAAACATGCTGCCAAGTTTTTGTGTACTAATGTGGTCTCATTTACTCTTTACATTATCCCCATTTCACAAATGAACCGGTTCTAAGGTAGGAAGTAGCTTATTTGAGGTCAAATAGTTAATAAAAAGATGGAGCCAATGTTTGAACTCAACAGCTGAAAACAGCGATTTCTTAAATATGCAAAGTTAAAATGCTAACTTAATTTGAAAAAGGCTGGTGTCATCAAGGGCATTTTTTTCAAACTTTAACTTTCAAACTTCAGCAAAAAGATTGACCATTAGTAGACTGTGAAATTTTTAGTAGGTTGGGACCAGCATTAAAAAAAAAAAAATAAGAGAAATAGAAAACACCAGAGGGCATCAGTTTCATAAAACTCTTGTTTCAGTTATCTATAGACCTTTAACCCTTCTTGGAAGCTGGCCTAAGTTAAGGATGGCACACCAGGCTTCCAGAGGCTGAGGAAAGCTGACCTTACTTTGACTTCCTGAATTTGGCAAAGAAATTATTCTATCACTGAGCTCTTTGTCTGAGCCTCTTTCTGAGAGAAGTCAGTTTAACCTCAGTATTTTTCTCTTTTAATGACTCCATCTCAAGTGTTCTTTGATTAGGGACACTGCTTTTTAAAGCTAAGTGTTTCATTTCCATAAACTTGCTGCATATGTAAGCCTCAGCTTAATTGAGATCATACAAAACTACATTTCTTATTGCAACGCACTGTCTTCATGGAAAATTTGGAAAATACTGAAAAACAAAGAGAAAAAAAGTAACATTCCCAGTATTACAGAGAGACAATATTATACCCATTATTTTTTCTATGTGTACATTTGTCTTCGGAAAAATGGGATACTACTGGTACCATTTTATGTTTTGTGTTAACTTTGAGTCCTTAAATATCTTGCTTAAATAATTTTTAATGTTTGTGCTTCATCCTAGGGATATCCAATAATTTAACCAGTCCCCTTGGGACACATTTTCAATTTTTCCCTACTATACTCTATTATAAATACTGGGATGAAGATTCCTGTAGTTAATTTTCTGAAAAAACCCATAATTTACTTATGCTAAATTCTTGAGTGGCATTTCTAGGTCAGAGGGTATATAATGTATGTTTTTAAGGCTCGTTACAGATATTGTAAAATTGCTCTCTTGAGAGATTGTACCAATTTTCCTTCTTGCTGTGTATACATAATTTTTAATCCATTAATTAGGCTCTTTTTGTTCTAACGGCTTAGGGAAGGAAGAGAGGTGCTAAGCTAATTCTTACTACATACCAGGAACTCTCCTAAACACTTGGTAGGAATTAAGTCATTTAATCCTCTCTATATTTTTTAATGTCAGTACTATTATTATGCTTTTTTCACTTTTTAAAAATTGTGGTAAAATGTAACATAAAATTTGCCATCTTAGCTAATCACATTCACAATGTTGTATTCACAACCTTCACCACTATTTCCAAAGGTTTTCATCGGCCTAGATATTCTGTACCCATTAAGTGATGGCTCCCCATTCTTTCCCCACCCCAACATACCACATATTTTTGTGATGAGGAAAATGGAGGTACAGAGGCTAAGTAAAATATTACATAGCTAGTTAAGTATAAAAGCCCTGACACTAAGACAAGGCAGTCTGACTCCGAAGCCTGCCTTCTGAATCACTTGTCTTGGGTAGTTTATTTTTAAGCTCAAAGTTTCTGGTTACAAGTTCTGGTACGTCCTTTCTTTTACATCTCCCCCAAAAAGTGAGAAAAAGACTTTTCTAAAGAATCTTGTATTTTATTAAGTTCCTAAACCCAGCGTCTGTCAAGAGAACTTTGAAGTCATATTTGCTTGGGCCACTGGTGCAGGCTCCAACTATTCCAAAGGGGCCAATCTACCTGCCTTGCCCTATGAGGTATGGTGGCAGCCAGAGGACTGCAGGGGGATCCTGCCTTCAAGAGCCACCAATCTCTCCTTCCATGAGATCCCTAATCCTGGGAGCTCTGAGAACACCCCTCAGATAGGCAGACATTGGGCCCAGCCACTGGAGTTGAGAAGTCGTAGGACTTTCTCTCTTTTCATTTCTCAAGGCACTGAAAAGAACATGGCCTTTGGAGTCACGAGCCTAGACTTGAATGCCAGCCTTGGAAAAGTTCTTGTCCCAATTCCATTTCCCAAACTGAAAAAGTGTGGATAGCACTTTACAAGGTTGTTGGGAAGCGCAAATGGTAGCCTCGCACAGGCAGTGCCTCAATGAGTCAGTCAAGCCTTGGCAGCTCAATGCCTTTTTGCTCACATCTTCATACAGCATCCTGTCAGGGACCAATCACATTACCTAGTGCTACTACTTCTCTGCTGGCTCAAATTCAGGGGCTCTCTCTAAACCCTGCCATATCCCAAGTACCAGCTGTGCCAATGTTGAGTCTCTTAAATGGAACACAATTCCAGCTCCACCACTTATTGGCTGTACAAAATTGGCTGTACCATCTCTGCCTCAGTTCCCTCATCTGAAGAGAATACAGTAATTGGATTCCCTACTTCACATGGGTATTAAATGGTTAAGATATGTAATGCACTTAAAACCGTGCCTACACGTAATAGAAGCATTTGCTATTGTTATCCCTAGTGTCATCTTCCCCTCACTGTTTCTTCACCAAATGCTGCCTTACACCTGGGGAAATGGAGAAGGCACCTGTAAAAGCCAATCCACTGGTCCTGGTGTTCTATTTATTCTCCTGTTGGAAGACTACTCTTCATTCCAATTCTCTAAGAACATCTAAGTTTCCAGGAACCTCCTGGGCCACGTCTAACCGCTAGATGGCTGAACTACAGGGTGATTATTTCCTTAGGCAAGCAAACACATCAGCCCTCTAAAATGGTATTTCCTGGGGCTGGATTATCAACAGGAAGTCCTGCGGGGACGAGCTCTGCCAAAATACTCATTCCGAGCATTGGTAAACAGATAAATTTGCCCAGCCCTGTACAACATCCTGCAACCTCCACACCCTACCCTTGTTGTAGGCCACACCCACAGCTGCTGACCCTATTCCTTTTCTTTGGGTTCCTGAGCCAAGAAGATCCATAGATGTGATTCTATGTGAGAAAACCAAAAAGACAAAAATTTGTACTTACAAAGCAGTCGAGCCATTTATTGGCATTATGAAAGCATTCCTTTAAACAAGGGACGGGATTCTGGACACCAAAGTCTCACCCGTTTATGAAAACTTGAGACCAAACTCTCCATCGTCTATACATAACAATCAGGAGTAAGAATCTGAGTTAAATAAATTGCACCAAACTGTCCTGCAACGAGATAATAAAGAGAAGTGGGGGCAAAGTTCTTACTTTCACACTAGTGTTTCCCGCACAAGATCTAACAATTCCCCAGCGCAGCACAAAACCGCTTCCCATTGTCTCAAGACAGTCATTTAATTTTCAATAGTCCATGGACTAATTTCATTTTGTGGAAAATGGGGGCGTACCCTTTGGCTCTGTGCATGGCCTACAGCTGAGGAGCCAAATTATGAACCGACGACAGGCTGACACACTCTTGGGCAGCGTCTTCACGGAATCTCCAGCATTAGGTCTCAGCTTCCACAGCTACAAAATGCAGACTCCTATGCAACTGTGGCGGAAAAGAGGAGGGAGATCAGCTAGGCTTCCAGATCGAAGTCATCGCGCTCTTCATTATACTCCAGCACGTGCCGCTTGATCTTGGAGGAGTCGACCCAGGTGACGAAGTCCTCCATGCTGCGTGTGACAAGGAAGGCTGGGTCGGTGACCACGTCGGGGCCCACGCGCACGTGGCCCTGTTCCACAAAGGCCACTGCAGCCTGGAGGTGCTGCGCCATGCGCAGCTTAAGGAGCACGGTGGGCAGGCGGCGGCGGCAGAAAGACGAGGCCGTGACGAAGTCGCAGAGCTCGAGTGAACCACGCGTGGGCACCAAACCAAGGGCATACAGCTTTTCCAGCAGCGCCGCCGAGGCGCGCACGCGAAATGGGTCGCGCTCGGGCAGGTCGCGCAGGCGCCGCGCCAGCTCACGTACAGAACGGCTCAGCTGGTTGTAGCGCGTGTAGTCCTCTCGCCGCTGCAGCCGATAACGCCGCAACACGCGCAGCTCGTGCAGGTTGTGGTCGGTGACCTCCCAGTTCAGGAAGTCCACCTGCTTCAGTAGCTTCTGCTCATGGAATTTAAGCTTCCGCACCATGATGATGGCTACTAGAGCCGCAGGGCCCAAGCCTAAGAAAGCGTTACGGCAGCCGCACGACTTCCGCCTAGGTTCGCGAAGACCGGGCCACCCTCGGACCACTGGGCCAATGAAAGAAAGGCGCAAGACCACGCCTCCAATTTCCATTGGTCAGAGTGGGGCCACAGCTCCTCACTGAAATTTGCGTTTTTTCTTTTCCGGTTGCTGACCGAGGGGTAGAGGGAGTACTTGAAAGACGCCAGGAGCGCGGGGAGCGGAGCTAGAAGTGTCCACCCGGTTTTAGCGTTTGCCCTATTTTAAGTTGACAGGAACGTATCCTAGTGCCGTAATAATTTCATCTCATTCATTCTTCTGCCTGTCAGCGACTCCCAGGAGAGTTTGCCCCACTAGAGCTAAAGAGGCCAATTGGAAGGAAGAGGGAAGTCGATGCTTGTTTGGGTTTACTGTGCTGACCGTTGGGTTCCTCCCACCTTGTAGGGGGCTTCCCGGAGCGGGCCGACCCCGGGGCTGACCTGGTTGTCTCCGCTACTCGCCCGCGTCAGGACGGTCCTTTACCCTGCGGGCGGAGCGGTTTTTCCCTGCCAAGTGTGGCTGGGCTGCAGCGAGTGTGAAATTCCTGCGCGGCTTCCTACACCCACAGATTCGGAGTCTATACGGGAGCCACCTGGAAATC